ACCGCTTAAAATTAGGTAACGCTTACAATATCGACCGCACTTCATATAAATAACGCTAGCACTGCCATTTGTATATTAAATATATTATATTATGAAATAAAACTAGCTAGATTAACTTTTATTTTACCGTAAATGTAGAATTCATATAACTAAGTATGTATGTATATAAGGAATATTTGAAACATTTAGCTTCATAAAAAATATGCCCCACATTCCCACCACAGATCCAATTTTCCAGCCACCTCAGCCACCGTTTGCTTCATCTCAGATCGCACTTTGAAAAACATTGAGTTATGAGTTTTTGCACTATTTCTAAGAAAAGCAAATCTATAGAATACAAATAAAAGTTATCAAACCTAAAATCGTGGTAGCAGTCATGGCTAGAAACAACCATGTTAGCTTAGTAATTGTAACTTTAAGCTAACATTATATAACAGCTAACAATATACCATATAATAATAAGATAGACATATCACCTTTCTCGTCTTAAGCTTATGGGATTTACAGCAACATATGGAGCGTATCTGTCAAAATAGTTCATTAGATATATACTAGTATTTATTGACTTGTAGAGACTTGTTTTTAATTCATGAACACATTAGCTTTCTATAAATTTATTCTGTCGACGTAAAAGCTTCAGTTATATTTGTATCTTCTGAGCAAAGAAAGCGCAAAAACAATCAAACAAAATTACAAATAGATATTTATCACATCCCCTTCGACATTGCGAGGGAATTTTATTTGCAGTCCGTTAAAAGTGTCATTAGAAACAAAAAATATTAAAACACAAAAATAATTATAAGCAATACACAATCAACAGTAAATAGGCGAGGGAATCTTCTACATAATTATAATTAAGTGCAATTAGATTACATGAATGAGAAACTGAAAATCTAAATAACATATAATTATGTAATTACATGGAATATAAACATAAAACAACCAATGACATATGATTAAATTTATTTCCTAAAGAATACGCAGCTAGTCGCGTAGTCCAGGCAGATATCTCTTGTGGCCCTAGTTTATTATCCTCTGCTTTTTATTAACAACCTTTCATACAAGGAATTTATCGCTGGCGAACTAAAAGCACATACAAATAGTCGCCTGTTCATTCTTGAGTCGCTTTTGAAAAAATAAAGACCTCATAGCAAATCAGTAATTAATGTTCATCAATAGAAAATCCGTCTAAACCCACAACGTTTCCAAGTTGGCAACTTGTGCTACGATTTATTCGTAAAAGTAAGAAATATCGTAAGAGACATTGGGCCAATCATAAAAACCAGGGAAAATAAATAGAGAAAAGGTACTAAGGCACCAAATTAATCAATTATTATAAAACAAATCATCACTTGAACACCGAATTAAAATAATTACTATTGTAAAAAGTACATTTCGAGATCCATTGCCCCAACTCGAACATTTCTCGTTTTTGTTTCTCGTTTAATGATTATAGTTTAATTAAATATATATAGATTTATGTGCTAGCTATGGTAGAAAAACTATTCATTATTTTTCACACGGCAGCTGAATATGAAACTCATTTCCATAGCAGGTAGGGTAGTTGACATGAAAACCTAGTTGTAAGGCAACAGGTGTTGCCTTAGGAATGCAAACTGTTCACATCTAATGGCTTCAGCACACACAAACACACTTAAATGACAAATCCATAAATTATTTAAGTTTAAATTTCATTTAGATATACCAGAATACAAATATATAGGTATGTATAAGACTTTACGTTTCAATTTTATGAATCATTCAATTTTTTACAGACATACACGAACAAAATTTATGGTTTTTTTTGGTCGTTTTTGCAAGCAAAACAGAAAACTTTCCCGGTGTCCAGTGCTAGTAATTCAAACTTGAAATTGTGACAAAGGTTTTCTGTTAACTCAGCATGCTATTTGGACATTGAAGGGTGTGCGCGTGTGTGTGAAAACAGATAAGCGCTGGTGTGTTAAAAATAAACTTGCCAAAAGGGCAATAGTAGGTTGAAGGTCTGTCGAAATATGTAGGAAAAGTAAAATTATAGTACATATATACATATACATATCTATGTATAATAAAATTATATATTTAGATAGGCCTTTTAGAGGTGAGTTGCTCACCTCTGTTTTAGTATGCGATAGAAAATACAGACGGATACAAATTAGTGAATAAAGTTTGTACGGGAATTTTGCTTTGTCATGCATTGTAAAAATATCTGTCATATTTGGTGTAAAAACCGCATTACAGCAACACTACCTAACTAAAACTACCCATAATAATTCGAAAGCGACGCCAATTGTTGGGCATTTTGTTTCCGGTGTTAGCTTTAATGCAAAAATGTCGCTCCAAATTTTTGAATTTCCAGCAACTCACTGGCTACTAAAAATTCTGTATAGAAGCAAATTCTTGTTTAAAGACTACCTGACCTAAATGTGCCTAATTTTGAATAGAAAACCAACTTACCAAATGAAGTTTCAAATGCCTTTTAGGCGCAGCCACAAAGTTGTATATTTTATAAACTCTTTTAAATTTGCTTTTTTATTGACATAGAGATGTGGGCTATTTATAGAATTTTTGTGAATGTGAAAGTCATCCAACCAAGTTTCGCTTGAGAAATGTGTGAGCTGCTTGTTGGTAAAACTAACACCTTTATGCCACTTTTTAACTGTTTTCAACAAACACTTCATTGAATGCATTCATGCAGCATATATTGATTGCACACCAAACATTTAAATCTATTTTCAAATCAACGAAATCGCTTCAATGTTATGTTCTGCTTAATTCAAAGCAAACCGGTTAAATGTTTCGAGCTCAGTAAAAACAAAAAGAAACAACAACAACAACAAAAAGAAACCGTTTAAGCGTACAATAGGCGTAGATACAACAAAGTCGACGACGACGGCTACAACTAATTATCAACCTCAACGAATCGCGCACAGCTGTACAATTCAGCTCGTTCTTCGTTGTTGTTGTTGTTGTTGTCGTGGGCTCTCAAACGAAGCAAGCAACAAACAAATACGTACGAACACACGCACATACAACTACATACACATATAGACAGAGACAAACCGACACATTGACAAACATTGTAAACAGTCTTGTTATCAGAGAGCTAACGCAGCTGATTTGAAATTCCAGATTAGCCCGCAGGTAGAGTGAAAAGTCGAAAACATTACTATTCATACATACTTAGATACTACAAATCATGTCATAGTAGATACATAGCTATGTATATGTTTAAAAAATAGTAATGAAATGAACATAAAATTCTCTTTCATCGATAACCGCAGTTCTCGCACTGCAAAACGTGACTTTATGGTGAAACGGATTTAGTGATAAGAGAAATACGAGTTAGGAGCATGTGGATCGGGCATGAGTATGAATGAACATGCGAGTAATGAAAATAAAGCAATCTCAATGCAAAAGGTAAAAAACTATCTGAGCAGCATCGCTCAATTTCAAAAGAAAATATGCACTTTTCATTCAAATTCCACAGATAAATTATTCCTAATGTATTAAAAAGTATTCGGAAATCAGTATCAATGAAACTTTTAACAGTTGTCTTAGCAGAAGATTATATAATAGATTTAAATGTGTCTTAATGAGAATAAAGTGGGCTCAAATTCTTGGTAGAAATACAGCAACATCTCTCAATTTCAAAAGCAAATTCACACTACTTCACCCTACTATTATATTGAAATTTTATTTAGAATTCTTAATCAATGTATTGCTATGAAACGATTGGTGAATTGTTAATAGAGAATGCAACAAATTTAAGTTATTTAAAAAACCTGAATTATAATTATGGTTTGTGGAATTAAAAAAAAAAACAAAAAGAGAATCTGTCTCTTAGTTATTGGTACTTCTCGTTTAGTTTTCCAATTAAATAGATAAAACCAACATAATCCAAGCATAAAATCGAATTTTCTGATAAAGTATCAAAGATAAGTAACAAAAGGGAATTCTTGCCATTCATAAAAACAGCGTTGTTGGGAAAGTGTTTTCAATTGTGGAAATGGAGTTTGTACAACATGAACTATTTTAGAAACCCTAACATATATCTTTTGTGTCTCTTTTATTGCATTAAAAATAATTGGTTAATTTTTATCGCAGATGATGACAGTCATCCATCATCCATATCTGTGCCAATATGTCATAAAATCGAATTTCAAATCCAAATTATGCTTAAATAAGCCTTATGTTTTAATCTTGATTATAATTTTTTTTTTACAGATTATAGCTTTATATTTTAAAATATTGATATTGATTTCAACAACATCGTTTTAAAGCAAAATTCCTTATCTTTTTTCTGAGGTGCACATTATTATTACAAAACATTAATATGTATTGCAATAATTGTATTAGAATGTATTGACAGCACTACTTGTTGATTTCTTAAAAAAATAAATAAATTCCGTATTTAATAGATACAATCTTTTTCAATTTCACATTTTTGTTTTCATAAGTTTTAGATCAATGAAAATTTCTAGCATATCTAAAAATTGTATTTTCTTTCGAAAAACCAGACAGAGTTTGCTAAGTTTTAAGAGACAAAAGTGAAATGACTTTACTCCTTTAAATGAATAAGTACATAGTATGAATTCTTGAATTAAAAAGCAACAGCTTAGAATGTTAAAAGGTTCAACGAAACTTTCTTTCATGGCATTGCTGAAGGCCATCCATATACAGACATACAAACATACATACATGCATATAATCGTATAGAACATTGATACACCTGCAGTCGTTCGTATTTAGAAATAAAAACCTCACTTGGACAAATTAATTAAAGCACGCTTATTAGATTTCTTGCTCAAGCCTACATTTTTTTGCATATTTTAAATTGAAACGTGTTTAAAATTCATTAAAAAATAAATTAAAGAGCACATGACAACATAACAGAAGAAGGCGAAAACAACAACACTAACTACATACATAAACACATACATGTCGTACGTCCATACATACGTACTTCATACAACAAAAGAGCGTAAAACGCAAAAACTCACCTCCAAAAATTTAAATAAAAAACGCAGCGTGCGCTGCTTGGCTGGGGAGCCCTTGAAATTTGTTCAATTGTAAGGCTGAGTGCGCCGCCGGCCCCCTCCTTTCCGACTGCTATTTATGCTGATGTTGCTGCTCTGCTGCGGCGCTGCTATTGCTATTGCCTGGCCGAGACTTTGGTGCGTGTGACGTTGACACCCACGCGTTGCTTTTGTTGTTGCTCTTTACTGTATTGTATTGTCTCTATTTGTGTGTGTGTGTGTGTTTGTGTGTTGTTGTTGGCTTTTATAAAACTTTTGACAAGACTTTTACTGTTATTTCACGTTACGTTTTGTGTAACCAGCACAACGCGTACGTTTCACTGTTGCTTTTGTTGTTGTTGTAATTCCTTTTAGCATTGCTTTTCACTTGATGGTTTGGGATGACGATGATGATGACGACGGTGGCGGCGACAGCAACCGCTATACTTTACTTTTTTTCTCACACACTTTGCACACAACAAACAGACATACATACACACATGTACGAAAAATTTCTCGCGCAGCAACTTTTTTCTTCATTCAATATACTACATATGTATGTACATACAAACATACATACACATGTATGGTATGTATATGAAAAACCAGTATTTGCCTTCTTTCACTTATTTCAAGAAATTGTTGAATAACGGTTTCTGCGGCTACGGTTTTGAATTTGTTTTGTTGTAATGAATTTCACTTTGCTTTCGCGTGTTGCTTTGGTTGTAGTTGTTGTTGCTGTTACATTTGTTGTTGTAGTTGCTGGGGCACGCTGGCGATGCGGCATTGTTGTTGTCGTTGTAGTTGCAATAGTTGTTGCCGCCGCTACGCACCCTGTATTTTTTCTTTCTCGTTTTTTTTTTTCTTTAGTATTTTGTGAAATTTTTGCCGACAATATTATGAGAAACCTGTCCTGCAGCAAAGTCGCTGCCGCTGCTGCAACACTGCTGTGGCAGCTTGTTGTTGTTGATGTTGCACATTCTCTTCATTTTGTTGTCTCGGGGGGCTGCATTTTGTACACTTTTTGAAAAAAGAAGCGAAAGCGGATAATAAACACATTTGTTTCATTTACATTTTTTTTGTTTGATATTTAAAATATCTCACAGAATTTGCTTGCATTTTATTTTTAAAACAACACCACAGCAGTACAACATCAAAACTCACACACATAAATGCAATGCATACATATGTATGTGCATAGTATGTGTTATAAACGACGACGCAAATATTCCAAAAGAAAAGTATGTGTTTGGTTTTGTTTTTGTTGTTTTAAGCAACGTTCATTGCCACACAGCACACACACACGCGCAGACAATGCTGTGCGCTGCTCTTCACGCCGTTATGCGGCGCGCGGGCGAAGGCAGAAGCAGAACCAGAGGCAGAGGCAACGAGGTTTTATTCAAGGGAACTTCATTTCAATACTTTAAGAGACGCAGACGTCGACGTCGCGTTGGAAACAAAGAAAATTTCACTTGTCTCGCGAAAACAATTTGTATGTATATGCCAAATACATACATATATATATATATATATATTGTGTATACACCTCTACATAAATACTTATTATGTACATACATAAGTATTAGTACATATGAAAGTTGGATGCAGATACTTATTGGCTGCGCTTCTGAATGTCAGAATTCACATTAAAAAAGACATATTACTGACTATGCCATTTGATTTGAATCATTTACATACATAAACAGCACACAGACAGTGAGACGACGAACAAACATACACACAGACCGACTGTCAGACAGACAGAGAGACACACTACGCCACGCTATGCGCTGACACAATTACAAAACTGTCGCTCGTCCGTCCGTTGTCTGCCCGACGCGCAAAAAGTTTTCTACTTTTGAGACTTCTTTTTTGTATTTTACACACATTATTATTATAATACACTTCACTACATTTGGTGTGTTGTTGTTGTTGCTTTTGCTGTGCTGCTGTTGCTGCTTTTGCTTGCTTTGCTGTTGTTGTTGGCCTACTTTGTATATGGGGAATTTTTGTTGTATTTCTTTTTTTTATTTTTTGTTTCTGCTCAGCACACACAACGACTGCGGCGACTGCGAGACTGCTACGAAAACGTCGTTGAAATTTCACACGCGTTTTATTTTTTTATCTTTACGTAAAAAAGAAACTTTTACAAATTGCTACTGAATTGATTGCACTTAGTTTAGTTATAGCTACTATTTAGCCTCCGCTTATAGATTATTTTTTCTTTATATGTATACGTTTAGGTGATTTATATGCGTGTTATTTTTGCTTTATATATATTTGATTTTGTTATAAAAAGAAATCACTACTACTTCAAAAAACGAGAGACGAAGAAGTCTGTGTGTGTGGAAGGTGCACTAGTGATGTGACGCGACTGTTTGGCAATGCCAGACTGTCCAGACGCCATATATCGATTAACATTGCAGATGGTTGTGTTTTCGTATCTGTGACTCTGTCACGAGTATTGGGACGGCTATGTGAAAATGTCTAAGAAGTATGAGGCTGTTAAACCGTCGTTGGTTTCTTGCAATATTGCTATATGGCCAGAGCTGCTTAGGAGTGGTAATACATTTAGTTAAAATGCAATAATATAATTTTTAAATTAAAATATTGATCTCAGTCACAACAACAGTCACTGAAGAGTTGAACCTATGGTGGAATGAGGTGAATAAAGTGGTAAGAAGCATTAATAAATTAATCTATAATCGACTTTTTTACCAAATTTTATCGGCTAAAACAGCCTTGTTTATAAATAATTTTAAATGAAAATCAGCTATTCATTTGGGGGGGACTGATTTTCGGAACCAATCACAAGTCTACATCACTTGCAAGAATATCACAATTTAAACAAATTTTGTTTTAAATAATATGTCACTTTCTGCAACAGCTAAATCAATTTTTGTAACCACTTTAAATTGTTCATGCACTTTAGAAAAGAAATATATTTTGTCATTTGAATTAATATCTCACTAAAAAGTTCATTTGGTATTGATATTATCTGGATAGGCTAGTTTTATAGCATCAATTGGTGCTAATTTTGAAAATCATTTAAAAACAGTTATTGCGGTATGTGCATGTTGTGTGAAATGTATTTGAAAATTAGTCAATCAATATTGTCGTACAATATGTTTGCAAAAATAATTATATGACGAAGTTTTATTTAGAAATTTTATTGATTTCCAACTCAGTGGTATTCTTTTGTAACGGCCCCTTCAATGGCAGTCCTTCTGGCTCTTCAGTATTCGATTCTGAAAGAAATCGACGTACGAAAGGCGAGAAAAGTTTGGAACTCTGCTTCCCCCTCCTATCTGAGGTCCAAACATAACTCATTGGAATCGCCCAAACAAAAACAAGCAGTGCCCCTAAAAATCTATACCACTGAAAGGATATCTCGAAAATGGAGAACTCCCTATTGCTGCTGAAGGCATCGGTGACTAAAGGCGGCTTTTCTGTGAATGGGGATACAGTGGTTGTCGTATTGCTGGCGGATCTTCTATAATATGAGAATTGTAATGTAATTTTGAAAAAATATTAATATCACAGATACATACATTGCATTTAGAATTCTAGGGAAATTTCTCGCTTCACACTGATCTATGGAGGTGGGTAGAGGCACATATTTGATATGCCCGGCCTCAATGCTCATTTGTGCCTTGATAATAATGGATGCCATGACTGTGATGCTGAAGAGGACGCCAGTAAGAGCCGCCTTGCTACCCACACGTGGCACAAGCATACCCATCAAAAAAACACCCATATTGGCACCCATGGTAATACCACCAATGGTTGCCAGTGCCTGCAAAATGGAGTCAAATTTCTGGACAACAAATCCTCCCAAAAAACAATAAATTCCCATAGCAATGACAAGCAGTCTCATGATCGTATTGGCGCCCCCCTCCGTGTGCCGAATGTGGGGTATAATATAGTCGAAGTACACAACCCCTGCAAGGGAGTTAAGATGGCCCGAGAGGTTGCTCAGGGCAGCGCTAAAGACGCAGGATAAAAATACTCCGGGCAGTCCGGTTATATGACCCGCAATGTTTTGGATGAAAAACGGCATAATTTTGTCCGCCTTGCTGACCACCTGTGGGACATGGGATAGCATCATAATTAAGAATCTTAAAGAGTTAAAAAGAAACATAACTTACTCCCGCTTGCATGGGATCGCAGCCAAAGAATTGGGCAGATATAATAATGCCGGACAACAAGTAGGGTAGTGCGGCGATTAAGAAACCAATTCCAGTAAGGACCAGAGCTCTAAAAAATCCCGCTCGCTTTAGAGAATCAGAAACTAACAAACAAGCTTAACTTACTTTTTAGCATGAGACAAACTTGGCAGCGATACGATGCGCTGAACACTACTCTGATTCATGCCAATAGAACCAATCCACATGATGAGACCACTTCCGAGGGTATTCCAGAATGTTATCCTAATACGTGGGTCCAGCCTGAAACTGTTGGATTCAGAATAGATTAATTTCTCCTATACTTGTAGGTTTGACTTAATTTTAAACTTACTCGAAATTCAATCGACCACCCTCCGAGGCATTTTCAATGACTGTGCTGATCCCACCAGTTCGTAAGATGCTCAGCACACTTACGAATACAATCAAGAGGAGTATAACACCGCTCTGCGCCACATCAGTCCAGAGAACCGTCTTTATTCCGCCCAACAACGTACAAACTACGCTGAGACAACACAGCATTGTGGTTATATCCATCACCTTTATGCCAGCCACTACAAAAAATATTGACTATCAAATGTCAAGAGAACTGATTCGGAGAACTGATCCTTACCCTGTGAGAAAGCCAGCGAGGGGAGGAACATATAGACGGGTAGCAGGAGCAATGTGCCTCCAACAAAAGTCCCTGTCACTACTTGTCGCGTAGCCTTGCTAAAACGCATCTCGAGATACTGGGTGTGGAGAGGGGGATTAACAAACATAACTACAAATAGACTAAATAAAATCGACTTACCTCGTAACAATTTGTGATTTTGTTTTCACAATAGACAGGGACAATTGCATAGATTAAGATGGGTATAGCTGCGATCATGGCAAGTATGTGAAAAATATAGCAAATGCCATAGGTATATACTTCGCCAGGCACAGACATTATAGCCATACCGGATAGCTGACTAAAATAATAATAGCAAGCACACAAGAATTAGAATTGGTTTTTGTGAATGTTAAAAAAATTTTAAAATATGTTTTAAAAAAATTGTTAAAAAAAATGTTTAAAAAATGTAAAAAAAATGTTTACAAAATTAATGTGAATGCAAAATCGGAGAACATAAACTGGTACCGCTGAGATCTTTCGGCTCTATAATGGATTTTCCCCTACTGAGATTGATTTTTTAAATTTCTAAAATTTGAAAAGGTTATTTATTATTTTGTTTGTGCTTACTTCCCCACCAGTAGGAGATTTTTTGTCTTCTCTCTTGTGCTATGTTCAGACTGGCAAAAGATTTGCACAGTATTTATATTGACAATTAATCAATATTAAGTGTACTTCATCTTTTAACAGCTTTTATCTGCGAATCGACCGACTGGATGGTTTCTAAAATTCGCTCTACGAATCGTACATATGTATTTATTTTTGAGATCGCATTGATGATCAATGGACAACGATTAGTGGACACCTTTTTCTCTTATGCTAACACTTTTCATAGAACATTTGTTTGGTGTACTAAGTATTGGAGTACTTGGTCGGACATACTTGCAAGTTGGCCGACGAGGAATGTCTGGCCAAAAAAAGGAGTCCCTTCATTTGCGTGAATGTTCTTTGAAGAATATGCCATCGATTTATGTAAAGAAGTTCAAGCATTTTTAAGTTAATACTTTTTTTTCATAAATTCAATTCTTTAAACATCTAATTAAATCAATTTCATTCATTTCAAAAAAGACCGTTGAACCGCGTACCTGGCACCAAAAGTGTTGTCAAAAAAGCTTTTTACTTTTTTTTTTTTTAATATCAACAAAACCAACAAGACAAGTTTTTTTCCTATAGTTCTAAACATTTGATTACATACCTCGTTATCAATGATATGGCGATGGGAAGCACCTTCATCTGTCTGCAGCCTCGCCTATATTCATCGGTGGGGTTCTTGCCTTTTGAAAGGAAACTTAAGTATACTCCAATAACTGCTGAAGTGCCTAACAAGATGGCAATTATAGATAAGTCTAGTATGCCTAAGGTAAGCCCGGTTGGGGCCGCGGTCGCTGCTGTGCTGCTCGACATCCTTCAAACTTCCCTTGCATTTACAAGTATGGATCAACGTATATATATCCATCTATACCGTCATCTTTCATTCATCTCCTACAAGAGTAGGAGCAACTTTTTAATTGAGAGCCGAAGAAACCTTTACCGACTGTGTGGATGAACAGAATGGTCTGTTATGTTTTGCCAGAAGAACGTAAATTAAAAAGACAAAACACGTTCCACACACTTGTGCCTCGTCTACGCATAAATTGCTTTTAGACATTCAATAGCCGTACACTTTTGAATAGACACAGTGACGTACAGCAGTAGGTTGAAGCTTAGGGGGCTCTCTTCATCTATATTATCTATTCGGTTTTAGGAAGAAGAAACGGCTTCCCTACATTCACGATGAAGGAGAGCAGTGCTATTGTCGAAGATTGCATTATTTGCGTAGAGTTTAAGAGCTAAAGGGGAAAAGGTTTCCAGCAAAACCATGCCGGGGTCGGGTAGTTGTCTAAGAGATGCGCTGTAGTCCCGGTCTTCTGAGGAGATGATGGGACTACTATTTATTTTGTACCTGCTAAGAGATAAAGAAGTTCGATTCGTGGTCATTTGCTTTTTAGGGGGTGATCAATCTCTTTTGCTAAACGTAGTTCTGATCTAACAGTGTTTGGACTAGCTAATCCGAATAAAAGAGCTTCTGAGTGGTTTGACTAAGTAAACCTTTTCGAGTCGTCATCTTACCGAGCGAAGATAATTTCTTATTTGTGAATATCTACACCTACGCCTTTTATTGTATTGTTTGTATATCTTGCGGACCCTACTACGAATCTAAAATTTATTAATTTGTTAAATACGCGATTGTTGCTAAGAATTTTCAACTTTCTTACTAACCTTTATCCGACGATGTCGGGGCTTTTTTTAATTCTACCTTTTCTTGGTACTAGAAACAAATGAATCATCTTCGTTGTTTACTATAACCTGATAGTTTTTTTCCGATGTTTAGTTTAGGATTATTAGTTCCTCACCCTAGCTCCAAACTATTTCAATGGCATGCATTATATTCGGTGTGTTTTTTACCTCAGAAAAAGTTGATAACACATATTTAAAATCATATAAAATTACGTATTAATCTGCGCTGGTCTTTTTACGCTGCTTGCTGGCTTCGCCCAGTAATTGCTCTCTAACTGGGTTTATGAATGGTCTTGTCTATGGTCTCGAAGTAACCCAAACATTTACGTGGGCATGAGGGTAGAACAATTGCAATAATTTGCCAAATTTGTAAAAATATTTGATAAAAATAAAAGTGTTAAATTTGTCATTATACAGACAAATTGTTAACTGATTTTCGTATCGTAAATAGATATATAGAAGAGACAGATAAACTTTGATTTCAATCAGCTAGAAGACAGATGAGATAGATATCATGGTATAGTCTCTGACCTCTAAATCTTTATTAGTCTAGGATAGAGAATTTTGATTATTAAGTAGGAGAAGTGGCGCCCAAGCTCTGCTATTTCCGCAAGAGTCCAATCTTGCATTCTTTTTAATCTTTAATAGATTTTAATAGACCAGCGGTGGAGACAAAGTTCGCACTTTAATAGTTCAATGGAAACTTTAGAGCATTTCATAGCCAATTTGATCTTCTCCTAATCCTATGCTTGGACTAATAACTATGATTTCTGAAAACATAAAAGCTGCCAAGTTTCTGCCCAATCATTTATTTTTCAGTTATAGCCACTTAGGAACGTTTTTAACTAACCCTTTTAGTTAAGAGCTGGGCACGGCTCTGTGCTTGTTGATTTCAAATTAACTCATTTCGTCATTTTATTCAGCTTTCCTTCTTGTTCCATATTCGTCACGTGATCTTCTCTTATTCAAATGCATGCCAATTCTAGTTAATAACAATAATGTAACCGGTCTGACTAGTTTTTGTAAGAGGACATGTACAGTATTGTTGTTATTTTTATTCGCCAAGCATCTCTTGATTGATTTGATATGCCCAGAATTGTTAACTCATTAGCATTGGGATGACTGTTCAAACTGTCTGGCTGCTCAAATGAATTAATTATGAAGAATTGGTACAGCTATATTTTTATACTCTAAAGTTGTTGAAGTTGAAGTCCCAAATGCTTGTAACTGGCAAAAGAAGAAGTGAAACTAACCATGTTAGAGATATGTACACTGGTCGGCACAATTATTTTGACGAGAAGAAAATCATACATTTTTGTCAATAACTGGTTATTGGTTTAAGATATCAAAGGAAACTTTTTTTCTCAATTCCATATTGGTATTACAAACTTAAAAATAATTCAAAGGATATATTTTTATAAGAACTTTTAAAATTATAAATCAAGGTAATTTTCATGGGTTGGCATAAGTATTTTGACAATGGATATTAACAAAAAAAACAAAGCTTAATACTAAACAAAACATAAGAAATTGATGGTAGATTAATAAAATGTATACCCGCCTTTGGCTTCGATAACTTTTTGAAGACGTCTTGGAACTGAGTCCACTAAATTTTGAAGGACCTCTAATGGTATCTCTTTCCAAAGAGAAGTGACCTCGGAAATAGTTTCTTCTTCGGTTTTATGCAAAGACGCATTTCTTTTACGTTTTACAAGAGACCACACATTCTCAATAACGTTTAAGTCCGGACTTTGTGGTGGCCAATCCAGAGTAGTAACACCAACATCGCTTAAAAATGCTCTTATCATTTTGCTTTTGTGGCATGGGGCGTTATCCTGTTGCAGGATAAATGATTCTCCAATCAGCCTGTCACCGGAAGGGAATGCGTTTTCGTTAAGGGTACTCAAATATTGTTGCTGGTTCATTGAGCCGGTGATGGGAACGAAATCACCTAACCCATTGTACGCAATGCATCCCCAGAACATGACTGAGCCTCCGCCATGGCTCACTTTTTGACATACGGGGATATTTTTTTGTCTTTGAAACTGTGGGAGCCTTACAAAAATCTTTGTTTTTGATGAATTATATTCAAAGGAGCTTTCATCTGTCCATAGAACGCTTCTCCAAAACTCTTTTGGCTTATGCAGATGCTCCTTTGCAAAAGCCAATCTTTTGAGCTTGTTCACCTTTGATATGTAAGGTATGTCCTTCGCTTTGTATGTCTTAAAATCTTCTTCTTTTAGGCGTCGCCGAACAGTACGCTCACTGATTGGAGTCTTGGTCGACTTATTCCATTGATCTGCAGCAGCTTGCGGCTTTAAATGAATATTTTTTTTAAATTCCCGCAATAGGACTCGATCTTCAATGGGTGTTGTTTTGCGGTTAGCACCTGATCTAGGCAAGTTTTTGACGTCATTGTGGGTCTTATATTTGTTAATTTGATAGTGGACTGTTTGCCGCGACAAATTATATTCATTTGCAATGTCTTTTGGTGCTACGCCGGCATTAAACTTCGCCACTATTGAGGCTCTAACAACATAACTTAATTCTGTCTTTTTTACCATTGTATCGATTACTTTTGAATCAAATTTTAATGAAAATAATGTAAAAAGGTCAACAAAAATTGTTACACCAAAGTTATTTTAGTATCACTTGATAAAACGTACGCGAAAACGGCGACAAGGTTTGGTCAAAATACTTATGCCGTGCCTGAATCCGCAGTCAACTCACATTGTCATTTGTAGAAAAAAGGTGTGAAGAGTAATAGACAAAATATTTTGCCTACATATTGTTGTTGCTATGAACTCAATATCCCGTATGAAAATTGTACCGTTATTCCTTGAAACTAAAAGCAACCAGCACCGATAGTCGTGAGTACAGTTCGTCAAAATAATTGTGCCGACCAGTGTATATACGAGACGAATTAATATGTCCGTTCGTATGAACACCGAGAACTTTTGAACCGTAAAAGCTAGGAACGTCAAACTTAACATGTAGACTTGTCTTATCAATATGCAGAGCAAGTTTATTACAAAACGCATGTGGCCTCAATATTTTAAATAGCTGTCATATAACCGATCGGGGCTAAAATAGGTAATCGGTGACAAATGCCTTTTAATGCCATATCTACAGATAATTTGCAGGTTACAGTTTTTCACATACCCCACTATAACCAGAAGTTTCGAACCGATATTGGTGTACTACGTCCAGTCAGTACAGTATATTCTTATGTTCTATGTTAATGATCAATATTTTCTAAATCATAATTTTTATAATTTTGATCCATTACACTCTTATTGATCATCTTTTTTTAAAAACAACGATAGCAACAGTAAAATATATAAGGATTCAATTAAATTTCTTATGAAATTATATATATGGAACGCAACTTCAATTTGTTAAACAGGATAGCGAACTCTACATTAAATTCGATTTTGTTTTTAAAGTTTTAGGTTACAAACAAGTTTTAAATATAGCTATGACCAAAAACAAATTAATAGAATGGGGGGCCCTTAATCTGATAGTACGTAGTGTATATCTTAAATTTACCAAAGCCAGAATGATACAAAATGTACCCTTCAAACGTCACAGTTTCTTAAATGGGGCGCTTAAGTTAGGGGCGAAGCCCTTCCCTCCTCTTTAAACTATAGAATTGGATTTCCACACACAAAGGTAAATAGAGTATTAGGTCTTGGGTAACATCTTCAAAATGTGTGGTTAGATAAGAAGAATGGCTTCCGCTCGCTCAATATATCAGATAAGGCCACTGTATTATAAACAATAGATCTTAAGGAAATGGTCAACTTTTTTTTAGATAATATCTAAAAAATGAGTGGCAACATCATAAAATAGTTTTTAGAGGCAAATATTTAGCATTCCACTCTTTCTGCTGTTTTAAAAAAATCGAATAGAAACTATGTTTTAAAGAAAATAGCCCGTAAAGTAACATATTTTTATGATCAGTATGTATACACAGTATGTATTTAAAATAAATAAAGTTTGCAATCAATGTCAACTTTTAGCTTAAAGATAACATTTGTTGTTTTTGCGCTCCTTTTTGTATAAATTATAATAGCATATTATGATTAAAGATCAAAAGATTAAGTATAGGAGAAAAAATTGATGGAAAATTATGAACTTACAGCTTTCTCTTCCATCTCACTAATTTCTACTTCCAACTTAGTAGCTTCATTTGGAATGGTATCCCTAAGTGGAAGACCTTCTGCTTCCTTCATTATTTCGGGTTCTGGTAGAAATTTGCGCACGAACGGAGAAAAGAGTTTCGGACTCTGCTTTCTCATTTTGTCTGGGGTCCAAACATAGCTCATTGGAATCGCCCAAAGAAAAACAAGCAGTACGCCCAGTAATCGGTACCAGTAGAAGGATATTTCGAAGATAGAGAATTGCCGATTGCTGCTGAAGGCGTTGGTTACCAAAGGCGGTTTATCTGGGAATGGGGACGCAGTGGTTGTAGTATTACTCGCGGATCTGCTATGGAATGAACAAATTAAATGAATATTTCTGCAAAAAGTGTAGAACTCCAATACCTACATGACATTCAGAATTATGGACACATTTCGCACTTCACACTGGTCTATGGAGGTGGGTAGAGGTACATATTTAATATGTCCGGCCTGAAAACTCAGCTGTGACTTGACAATGATCGAAGTCATGACTGTGATGCTGAATAGGATGCCGGTAATTGCTGCCTTGCTCCCCACACGTGGCACAAACATGCCCAGCACAAATACACTCATCACAGGTCCAGAAGTAACACTGCTAATGGTCATCATTGTCTGCATGATGGAATCAAATCGCTCGACTATAAAGCCACCCACAATGCAATAAATTCCCATGGCAATGACCAGCAGCCTCATGATCGTATTAGCACGCTCCTCTGTGTGCCGAATGTGAGGCTTAACGTAGTCGAAGTACACTACTCCTGCAAAGGAGTGGAGGTAGCCCGAGAGCGTGCTCAGGGCGGCGCTGAAGACACACGAAATAAATACGCCGGGCATTCCGGTAATGTGGCCTGCAGTGTCCTGAACAAAAAATGGCATCATTTTGTCCGCCTTGTTGACCAGCTGTAGGGCGTCAGATAGGGTCACGGGTTAAGGACTTGAAGGAGTTAAATAGGAACATATCTTACTCCTGCCAGCATGGGATCGCAGCCGAAGAAGTGCGCAAACATAATGATGCCGGTGAAGGCATTGAAGAACATAATGATTACAAAGCCAATGCAAGTCAACATTAAAGATCTGAAAAAACCAAATTCTCACTACACACGGATTGAGACGTTAAAAAAAAATATACTTCTTTGCTTGAACATATGTTGGCAGCGACACGATGCGCTGCAGACAGCTCTGATCCATGCCGATGCTACCGATCCATATAAGAAGGCCGCTACTGAAGGCACTCCAGACAGTTATTCTAATACGTGGGTCCAGTCTGAAGCTAAGAGTCTCGAAATAAATACATTTCTCCTCGCAGTTTGGCAGAATTGTAAACTTACTCGAAATTCAATCGACCACCCTCCGAGGCATATTCCATGACTGTTCCGACCCCACCGGTTCGTAAGGTGCCCAACGCACTCACCAAAACAATCGAAAGGAGCATAATACCGCCCTGAACCACATCAGTCCAGACAACCGCCTTTATTCCGCCCAACATCGTATAAAATACACAGATAGAGGAGACCATTGTGTTTATAAGATGGATGTTTATGCCAGACACTAAAAAGAAACGAATCGAATGTTAATAAAGCGCGTGTGCACAAATGTTCGTTCAAAATGCGATAAATCGATGTTTTGGAGATGTTCAATTCCATTTCCATCAATATCAATGATGATTTCGGCTGATTTTTGATGAATTCACGCACAGTTTCGATGGAATTTCCGGTGATCACGAATTTTGATTGGCCCACATGTTGATCGTCATTTATGTCCTCACGACCACTTTGAAAATCTTGAAACCACTCGTGCACTCTGCTACGGGATAAGCAATCATCGCCATAAACTTGTTCCATCAATTGAAACGTTTCGGTAAAAGTTTTACCAATTTTAAAACCAAATTTAAGGTTGGCTCTTTGTTCGAAGCTCATTTTCGCACCGATAACATAAACATACTGACACTTAAAACGCAATAACTTCACTTCCAATCGATGAAATATCGATAAAGAAGCAGATTCTAACGCACCAGTCGACATATAGATAGCACCACCAGGGGGCGTTAGATTCAAAAGTTGTGGCAACGCCAAAATAAGTTTGTTGGCTATCGAGATCGATATCAAGAAGAGGCGATATCTGGGATTACCGCGTAGCGAACGAACGGCAGCATCAACCTAATTATAATAAGTTAAATTTTCGTAGTATATTAAATAAATGAATTGGTAATGCTAATTGCCAAAAAGTCCTGTTTACTTTGGAACGCACCTTGTAATTAAGACTATACATAAGTTAGAGTCACTTTTGCATCGATAAGTCCGATGCCAGCTATGTACTTGTATATAAAATAATGATGTTATAGTAGTATATGTATTGTAAATAACTTTGTCTTTGTATGGATAACATAAACCTGAACTTCAAGATTTAGATTTCCCTAGTTGTTAGCGCTCAAAAGTCCTAGTCGAATAGACGAACGAAGTCCCTATCGATTTGATTCGCCATTTTGTCTGTAACATGGAGTCTTCAACACTTCATCTTGCCTATTAAATACATTTGGCATTTAGATTTTTCAACTTTTCATTTCCCCCTTCGGATATGCATTATAAATTGAGATTTGATTTCAGATATTTAAAGAAATGAACTGAGAAACTCACCCTGCGAGAAAGCGAGCGCAGGAATAAACATGTAGACGGGTAGCATTAGAAATGTGCTTCCAACAAAAATTCCAGTCACCAATTGACGCGTACCCTTGCTGAAACGCATTTCGAGATACTGGATAGGATTGTGAAAAAGGTATGCATAGGCTGTAAACTCTAAGCCACTTACCTCATAACAATTGGAGACCTTGTTTTCATAGAAAACCGGGATAATAGCGTAGATCAAGATGGGTATTGCTGCGATCATGGCGAGTGCGACGAAAATGAAATTAAAGCCAAACGAATAAGTTTCAGCCGGAATGGACATTATTGCGATACCGGATAGCTGGCTGAAATTCCAATTGACAATTTGTTACTCTTCGCGTATTAAAATTGTTTAATAATAATAACTTCTTTAACTTTTTTTCTTAAATAACTGAAACTGAATTTATTTTGAATTGCTTGAATTTCAGCTTATCTAAGCACTGCATTCTGAAGCTCAATATTTTCACAAGCTTTTCAGTAATTTCAAGCTGTTTTCTATCTATCTATCCAGGTGAAAAAGGCAAAGGCATTCAGGACCGAAGTAAAGAACTTATCGAAATAAGAAATCGTTCGACCTAGTCCGATATTTTTTGAGTTTAAAGAAAATTCGGTGGAAAATAAATAAACTTAAAAATGATTCACATATTATGCCACACCTGCCACACCTCTTCGTAAAGATAAGTTAATCCGCACTGTCATAATGATCTCTCACATTGAAAGTCTTCGCCATTTCACAATAAAGTATATACTTCGAACAAACCTCGTTATTAGTGAAATCGCAATAGGAAGTGTTTTCATCTTTTTGCCACCCTGCAGATATTCCTCCGTAGTGTTCTTGACTTTGGCAAAGAAGCCAAAATACACACCAATAGCTGCCGAGCTGCTTAACAAAATCGTAAAAACGACATAGTCGGTGATCCCAAAATTTAAGCCCAACGGAGAGGTGTCCGTTCCAGATTCACTTTTCATCTTAACGATTTACTTTTAGTATCTTTTACAGTTTTTTTTCGTTTTTTTTTTTAATTTCAGACAACGATAGTGAACTGAAGACCACTTGTATGCCCGGGGCTTACTTAAGTACGAAATGGTCCAGCACTCGTTTATGTAGCTCATGATTGACTGTCTTATCTAAATGATAAGTAGAAGATACAAGATAGATGCGGTATCTTTTAATTAGCTACTTTAATCGGTCATTTTGTTTTACAAAATAAATGTTAATTTTAAAAGACTACAGTAACGTCGTTAAAATTTTAGGGACTAAAAGTTGATAGTAGACTGTAAAATTTTTAACTTAATTTGAGCTTTCCCAAGGAAATGGCTTTCAATATTTTTGCTGAGATGAACCGCTCTATTGGGAAATTGTTTCTTTAAAGCTTAAGCTTTCTTTTAATTTTTAATTCTGGCTTAGACAGAAGCGATTATACGGTATATATTTCTTAGCAACTTACATGCTGCTTATATGGGGCCTATCCGACATATAACACATATAATTGTCCATTCGTGCTTTCATTTTAAATACATAGTATGTACATACTGTATCTCTAGGTCTTTTATATTCAAATTCTTCTTTCCCCGAAAATAACATTTTCAAGGGTATAAAAATTTCATTATATAATTTATAACAAAGAGCTGGTATGTGGATAACGTATTAAATCCAGTTAACATTATTTTTTGGTCAGTATACCGGAAGCAACAAACCCAAAGAAGACTTCTCAAAAAATAATAGCGCTCGCTTAAATGGAACAATAAAATATAGAGTTTTGATAATTTAGCCAATTCTATCTTTAAATAAATGCAACTAATAAAGAGACAAACTAGTGTAATGCGTGTTTGAAAACACAAATAATAAGCAATCCATTTGCACGTAAAATTCAAAAGTAATTCACAGTTAATTTTTTGCCCACCTCTAATGGTGAATAAGATGGGTGGGGGTGAATATAGTAAGCGTTTGGAGTGGCCATATGTTCTACACACATGTAAAGGCTAATCGATATATTGAAGAAAACATCGATAGAAACACGTCAGAGTAATCGCCGCCGCTAGGCCACAATCAACAATACAAAGACTATATAAACAATGTGCGCTGCAATGTACTTGCTTTAGTTGACAAAACTTGCCGAGCTCGTTACGCCTACTCCGTTCTGAACGCGCATTACATAAATTTGCCTAAAATTTCAAGTGTGAACATTTCAAAATCCAAATTCCTTGTTATCGCCTAGTTTTGAAAAGCTAAAGAAAAAAAAAAACGAAATCCAGCAAGATGGCTGCACGCGATGCTGCTTCGAATCAACTGATCGACTATAAAAATTCACAAACGGTGAGTGCCGCACAAACAACACAATAAACAACTGAAAGAAATGCGCATAAGGCTGGGCACAGGCAGGGCACAAAAAATAATTTTATTCATCCACAAATACAAAATTGTTGCCGAGCAGCAGCAGAAAAACAAAACAAACAATAAATTCAGCGACTGCTGTTTTATTCTTTTGAAACAAAAAAAGTAGTATTCATGTGCATGTCAGGTAGAGAGTGTATCTGCATTTAATTAACAAAAGCAAAGGCTAATTATACGGCATTTATAAGAACAGAAAGCCAGGCACAATCAGGCAACAAAGCCGGTCCCCTCGGTCGCTGGGCATGGCGCAAAGTTCAAGTAGCTCTCATATACATATGTTGTTGTTATTGTTACTCGTATTATCAATTCTGCATTCTCTCTCATTGTGCTCTCTCGCCTCAGCGAGATAGTTATGTACTTTGTTATTGTTTTTTTTTTTTTATTAATTCAATTTCAATCTTATCGCGCTCATACTGATAATGGCTAAAAACTGTTAGCAACCAAGCATAGTATTTATTTATTTAGCAGTAAAGCTGATCCCCAAAAATGCATAATTTGTAGAGATTTTAAAAATGAAAAAAAAAGGTTTGCAAAAATGTAAAATTTAATGTTTTCAAATTAATTAAGCTAACACTTTTCACTTGTAAGAAATCCTTAAAAATTAATTTTCAAATTTTTTTTTGTGAATTATTTATTTCTCGGATATTGATATAAAAAAGATTTGCTTAAAAGAATAAGAATGTATTATCTTTTTCGTGATCAATGGGACAATACGTCCTAGAAAATTGCTACAAAATTTCTGCAAAAACGTGCCATTGTGCTATACAGGAAAAGAACACTTTTTTTTCAAGAGTACAAGTATAGATTAAATGTTTCTTTTAAGTCTACTATATATATTTCCTATTTTACAATATATTCTAAAATTCTTATGCAGTTCTAACGATCCTCACATTGCGAATTGACAATAATTGACACCTTAACCTTAACACTTACACTGTTTTTTATTTCTATAAGTATATTACAACAACAACAAAATAGAGAGGAAATTCTAAAAAGAGCTAAATTTGTATGTTTACAATAAAAAGCCAAGATTTGAGTTGGGATTTCAGCTAAGAGATAACAATTCCTACAAGAGAGGTTGCATGAAGTTTAAACATGTGCATATTTTTATAGACCGGTGCTAAATTCGTGACCAAATACTGCAGCACTTCATGACTTTTGCCTTTTCACTCTTTCTACAGTTTTTATTTTGTTCATCGTTCTTGTTTTTGCACATTTGTGTTAATTTGTTATTCGCATTGCTTGCTGCCATTTCTCAAAACAAACAAAAACACACACACTACACACACAGACCTTTGCTAATTTCGCTTTCAATTTTGTTCGAGCATTTGGTAGAAATGTTGCCAAATCGTGAGGTCACAACTAGATTGCAAGATTGTATTGAAAATAAAAATTGCTTGCATTGCCGGCAACTATGTTGCTTCTGTTGTTGTTTCGCTTTCCCGGCTTTCGTTAGTAGGTGTGATTATTTTCTTAACCGCATGACTTGCTAATTAACTGAAGCCTAAAAAGTTAAATTATGTGTCAACACATTTGATTGTTGCTATGTATTTCTACTTATTAGTTCAAAGTTAAGTCTGATAAATTATATGTAACAGAAAATCTGTCTTTGGGCTGCCACCTACTCTGAATTATTACTCGTACATAGACTTGTCTATTTGTTCGTCTGTATGAACTCCGAGAACTTTTGTACCATAACAGCTAGGGACACCAAACCCATTATTTAAACTTGCCTTATTCTTATGCACAGCAAGTTTAATAGCAACCATTTATGACCCCATTGTTTTATATAGCTCCCATTGGAATGATCGGTACTAAAACCGCTCTTAGTAGCATAACGATTTTGCTTGTTAAGATATCTTTATCAATTTGGGTCAATTTGAGTTTTGTATAATGAAAAATAATATTTTGAAGCTTAATCAAAATTGGTTGACTACAAAATATAGCTGCCATAGGAAAGATCGATAGAAAAGCTAATCTCTCCTCCTCCTCCTCCTAACCTCTTTGCTTTAAAGATATTTGGTCTATATTATATATTTTGAATTTACCCAAAATTGATATTTCGAGTTTTTTATAATCTCTTGAAATCGTTAATATCATATATTTAGCTGTCATAGAAATGAGTGGTGCAACAAAGTTTAGTTTATTTTAGTTGAGTGGGTTAGGGTATTTAAGAGTTAGACTGTCACGATTTTAACATTCAACACGTTTCAGATTTCCTGGTTTTGGAATGGGTTGTTTGGTTTGAGTTCTGTAAAAAGTAATGGATTTGCCAATCTGATAAGTTATATTTATGAGACTAAAAACTACATATGTAACTCTCTGAAATGTTCAACTATAAATATAATCAAAGCTATAAATGTTTAAGATGGAAGCTTGTCTAACTCTTTAATGATTTTTTACAATTTTTTTTAGAAATTTGTATCGATATTCCTTAAACAACTTTAAGTAAAAATATTTTATTTTATTTATTACAAAATGCCAAAAAAAAATGGTCTGACAATTTAAACAATCACGTAGAGAATAATAGTTGTATCGGTATAATTGCTAGTAAAATTTTCATTCGCGTTGTTTATTCTAAATTATAGTTTCTATTTATTTTATATTTCTATCGATTTATATTAGAGCTTGTTTCAAAATAAAAACGTGACGGTATGACTAATTTGTATTACAAAACAGCATATTTCAGCATTTCGCCCTTCATTATTGTTGTAATGAAACAAGAAATTTCCGCTTGATTTGGCTTGCAATTAATGTTTATAATTAGACACAAAGACAATTAAAAGTTGTTATAAATAAAAACTAAAGTGTGAATCAGAGTTCGACAGCACAAACCACTTTCAAAAGACCGCGTAATGTTGCAAAGTTGCGTCTGAGGTTTTGCGAGCTCAATCGCCTTCGATCGTAGTGTGGCACAAATAAATTATATGTGTATGTGTGGTATGTGTCTGCATTAGTTGGAAGTCAATGCCCCTTCGCCTAAACTGGTTGCCAACGCGATTTGCGATTTCAGAGTAGCGGTAGTTGTCCCACAAGTGGGATCCGTGACGACGTTTGGAAAAACTTGTTGCACAGAGCGGGCAGGGCAGGGCGGGGCGGTGCGGTGCTGCCTCTATCACTCGATCCACATATGTACATACAGTCATGTTACAAATAATAGAGCCACTTGCATTGAAGAAGTTCAAACACAAGGTTGCTCCAACGGGCGTAAATTGAGGCCAAATGAGCCATCAAAGCACTTGCTGGAACGCCAAGACAGCAAGAGTTATAAATATGAAATTTGTTTGAGATATCTTTATAAAGAAAATAGTACTTAGCTTGAATTCTGAAACTATTATTTATATAGTATAGCAGCTATATGATGGAGTACCCCGATTTAAATGAAACTTCAAAATATCTTGAGACCTTATATAAAACTCATTTATATTATATCTTTATATTTATTATATTTATCTTTATAAACAAGAAAGTTATTCTACTAAGAGTAATTTTTCCGCCGATCAATCCTATAGGAGCTATATACCTATATAAATAAATAAACTTGTTTTACATAGAAAGAGAGAGAGTCTAGATACCAAGCTTGGTCTTTATGGGCTCAGCCCTTTCCGAAACCCAGAGGTTCATCCAGACGAACGGGCGGACAAACGTACATGTAGAGTTCGATTTGTCACGCCATGCTGATTAAGAATATTTATACCTTATGCTGCTTTCATCTGCCTTAAAACAAAACAAATCTACTCTTTTTACCCTTCGGGTTGAGGGTACGAAAAGTATTGTTACACGAATACTTCATCTGGCCTCTATTGTGCTTATTGATAGTTCCTAATAGTCGATAGCCACTAAGATGAAAGCTTTCTAAGCAATTTTTCAATTCCCTGATTAAGGCTTCCATTAGTGGCTCGCTGAAGATAATGTGCTGTTTCTAAATGTTTTTTTAAGGAAGTCGTACATATGGTCAATGGGATCCAGATCTGGATTCAAGCCATTATTGAGCCAGTTAGCCATTACTGACCCTTTAGTCCTTGAACTTGCTTTCAAAATATTCAAGTAGGCCTAACTAACTCCTTTAAAAGGCATTGTCTGGTTATTTTCATTTAATAGTGGAAACATTCTGCAAAAAATTTGAGTGTCAATACCTTTTTGGCTCACCATTGGCCATTCTAGTATATACTTGAACCCTTTGGGTACAGGGTATATAAAAAAGTTAATTATTATTTTTCACATGATTTTAAAACAAAGCTCAACATCGGCTTTGCTTTGCTTACAAGTATGTTTGTACTCGTATGTGAGAATATGTTTTGTTTGCATAAAGAGCAAAATGGCATTTTAATGAGCTAAACAAAAAGCAAAATAAAACAATCAACAAATTTTATACGCAACAGTTGGTTCGTGCTTTTTGGTTTCGCTGCCTTCTAGGAAAATTGATTTAAACTGCATTCTGTCAGGCAATTAGTGTCTGCCTTTGTTTTCGGTATCACCTCATTTTAGCTGCTCGATTTGGCTGCACTGCGAAGCTAGAGCTAGAAAATTTCAATATCGCTGCTAAACTAGACGGTCGACATTCAAATATTCCATTAGCCTGCCAATTTAATTCACCTGTCGTGCTCTAATTACCATGAAATCAGATTCCTCTGGCCATATCGCTTCTGCACCTCAACAACTTGCAATTAAGACTTGCTGCAAAACAACTCTCGTGGCTTATCAGTTCGACTCCTCATATAAAGATAGCAGCTATGTATATACATATAGTATGTATATTTGTGGTCTGATTTGCTTTCCTATCTAACCTTTTGCGCCCTCTGATGTGCTCCCTATTGTGTCGCAAAGTGCAAACAAAAGCGATTGCAAATCAGAAATGCCAAGCAGCAATCAACTGGGCGGTACGGGGGGCAGAAATCAAATATGTATATAGATGCGTGCAACAGGTGTGTGTGTGTGTGTGTGTAGATAATGGAGAGACTCGATTCAAAACTCCTATAGACTGCCTCTGATATTGCAGATAGCGCCATAAATATATTAAGAAAAAATATATAATTTATGCAATGTGTAGGAGACTTGACTGAGCCTTCATTATACATAAAAATAAACTTATAGAGTCTTCTTCCAAAACCACTTCAAATCTACAACTGTAGTATTTGTACAGAAAACCAAAATATGAACCAGAAAATGTAATTGGAAGCGGAACAAACAGCTGTGAGCTTTTAAGCAAATGCTAATAAATATTAAATACTGATTAGATTATGCTGCTAAGGAAAGTTACGCGAAGTGAGTTCAGTCAACGAGCTAACACGATTTGAAAAGTAACAACAAATTTCTTACACCTTCAAAGAAAATGTATCATTGATAATGTTTTAATAATCTATGTGAAGGTCAATTCTTTGACAAATGTTGTTAGGTTTTTAAAACTTATATTTGCTTTCAAATCATTGAGAACACGGCAGTATAATATATATGTCTAAATAAAAAAGTATTTTAAGTCTTTCAGTTTCTGATATTGGATAAGTTCTTGATAAAACAATGGCAACTAAGTTTAGTGTTACTTGAAATTACTGGCTCTAAAGCTTTTAAATAATGTAACTACATCTGAGAATGAAACGTCCAGAGAATATATAACTTTTTTGTATACCAACTGTATGTAATCCAATTGGAATTTTTAATTATAGTTAAGCTTTCCCTATTCTCCTACTTATCAAAGTTGTCCTGACAAAGCTGCTTTCCTTAGTAGCGCCATGTTAAACTTAGTAAATTTCGACTCTAAAGGGGGAAAACGGGCTCCTCAAACATTTGTATGAAACAACTTTCTTGGTCGATTGCAGTAATTCATACTTGGTTTTTGAACTGCAATTGCTGCTTTTTCCTATGAAAAAATTCAATCAATGCACAGCTCAAGCCATAAAAGTTAGTAAATTAAATTTTGGTCTCAAGTTAAGATGTATCTCTGGCTCTAAGGCTTGTAATTTATAAAACAAAATAAACACATTTTAAAGGAGGTGGATCGATGAAATCTTGTTTAGTTCAAGCTGAACTATCATTCATTCATTATGCTTGTATGAATAATGTGCATTTCATATTTATAAGATATAAATATATAAATTGTTGAATATTTTGATATTATTAAAATAACAATGAGTTGTCCTGTGAACTGTATATGAACTTACATAAATGCTATTCATTTATATTACTTTATTTCAAAGTAATGAAATACTCAAAGCTTCTAATGAAATTGTAGTTCCGGCAACCTTTTTCAATTTTTTTATTTCTGTGCAAGCTTTTCAGCCCCGCCCATTAGAATAAACTTTTATCTTCAAAGGCTTTAAAACGCATTCGTGCTATTTACGATGCTATATAGATATGGGAACATAAATGTTGTAGAGTTTTATTTTGTTTAGGCACACAAAATATACTCATATAGTACATTTCCACAATTAGTAGGAATTGTTATAATAATTTCGTCAACCGGTAGCTGCATTGTATTTCAAAACACACTTACATTGTTAAATCATTTGCGTGCAAATAGAAGTATCTCATAGATACAAATACTGTAAATAACTTGGCAGTCGTGTGTCACATTCTAAATGATGTGCTGTCCCCTTTATTGTTTGATATTTTGCATACAAAGAAAGTTGATAAGAAGGAGTGCCCTCCAGAAGCTGCACCCATTTCCAATTGCATACAAAGACGATAATAGAACGGGAAGAATACAAAATGAGATCTTAATGAACAGCAAATGTCGTAAATGCTTTATTATTATTTCTGTTGTTGACGAAATTAACTAAAACGCAACTTTTTTCAATGTTGACGTTACGTTTCGAAGCTAATAGCTCCTTCTTAGACTATTTTGATAATAATAATGAATTTCTCTATCGCCTTGAAATAAGTGTTAACTTAATATAATTCTGATATTCGTTCATTAAATATAGACAGCGAGCTGTGTCATTTCCATTTGCATACAAAGACGATTATAGAACAGGACGAATTCTGAATAAGATGTTAATGAACATCAAATATATAGCTGCAACATTCTTCAAGAACGTATTTAGCTCTTTATTCTATGATTTTATACCTCTGTGAGGACAATTTGAATCCATTCTTCATCGCCTTGAAATAAATATTAATAGCCAATAAAATTCATAGGTTTGATTTTTCCAATTGCATACAAAGGCGATTAAAGAAGAGGAAGAAATTTAAAGAAGATCTTAATGAGTACTTAGGAATATGGATATTGGATTCTTAATTCTTTATTATTATCTTTACAAGTATTATTATTATTGTTCTATTAGAAGTTATTCAGTGTTTCGAGGCCAGTTTCTCTTTCTTTTATGACTTCCAAACTCAGTTAGGCCTAATTCTATCATCTTAAAATAAATATGACTAACTAATTATAAATGTAATATTCGTACAATAAATATTAATGGCAAGATGACACGAGTTGAATGAGAAATATGAATCTTTTGAATGGTCAATAAGTGCCGTCGAACAATAAATATTCTAATTAGTATGTTACTTCATTTGCTTATGCAAGTTAATCTTTCAAACTAGTTAGCTTCGTTCATTGTTTCCCTACCTCCGTTAGGTCTATTTATATCCTTTGTAAAGTCGTCCGATAATAGACATTGTTCATCTCCCTATAATCTTAAAATAAATATTAGTAACCACTAATGATCAAAATTTTATTTACAAAATAATAGGGAACTAAATTTCTTATGTTGCTGAATCTAAAAATAATTCTTGCTTTTAACCTTTCAATATTCAAGCTTTCGTTCTCTCTACTTTTCCTATTTCGATTCTTCTTAAATAGCCCTAGAGTTCTGATACCATTCTCGAAGCATACCCACATTTGTTACTTTAAATAATTCCTTGATTCAGGAATTGTGATACCTCTAAATTAACGCCCTTAAATTTTGTACCGCCCGTGTCTGTCCCTATCCTTAACCGCTTTTAAGGTGAAGAAACCATTTTCACCAGAAACATCAATAATTATCAGCCACAGATTTGTTTGAGCTAAAGGCGGAAAGTAACATTTGTACCTTTAAGAGAATATGTTCCTAGCGCCATCTATTTCAATACGACGACTGTCTGTTCGTACACCCAATAATAATAATAGACGTACATAAACGCATATAAAATGGGTGGGTGGGTTAAACCAAAAATATCACAATCTTTTAGTTTGCCAACTTCGCCCCCTATAAAGACTGATAGGAATTCGCCCATAATTGTTGAGCTTTGGAGGTTTTAAAGGTGGAAATTATAGAGCACGATAAGATTAAAAGAGAAAAACACAAAAATCGAAGACATTGCACTTTGTAATTAAAATATTTGTTCTTATTTTTTATTCAGGAACAACCGGGTGCTATTACCACCGGCGCCGGTGCGCCCATTGGTATCAAGGATGCCACGCAAACGGTGGGTCCCCGCGGCCCCGTTCTGCTGCAGGATGTGAACTTCCTGGACGAGATGTCGCACTTCGATCGCGAACGCATCCCGGAGCGTGTGGTGCATGCCAAGGGCGCCGGTGCTTTCGGCTACTTCGAGGTCACCCACGACATCACCAAGTACTGTGCGGCAAAGATCTTTGAAAAGGTTAAGAAGCGCACCCCATTGGCCATCCGATTCTCGACGGTTGGTGGCGAGAGCGGTTCTGCGGATACGGCCCGTGATCCTCGCGGCTTTGCCATCAAATTCTACACAGATGATGGTGTCTGGGATTTGGTTGGCAACAACACGCCCATTTTCTTTATACGCGATCCGATACTGTTCCCCAGCTTTATCCATACGCAGAAGCGTAATCCGCAAACGCACTTGAAGGACCCGGACATGTTTTGGGACTTCCTCTCACTGCGTCCCGAGTCCACGCATCAGGTGTGCTTCTTGTTTGGCGATCGCGGCACCCCCGACGGCTATTGCCACATGAATGGCTATGGCTCGCATACCTTCAAGCTGGTCAATGCTAAGAGTGAGCCGATCTACGCCAAGTTCCACCTGAAGACGGATCAGGGCATTAAGAACTTGGATGTGAAGACGGCCGATCAGCTGGCCTCCAGTGATCCCGACTACAGCATTCGCGATCTGTACAATCGCATCAAGAACTGCAAGTTCCCCAGCTGGACCATGTACATACAGGTGATGACCTTCGAGGAGGCGAAGAAGTTCAAGTATAATCCCTTCGACGTGACCAAGGTCTGGTCGCATAAGGAATATCCTCTCATTCCGGTGGGTAAAATGGTTCTGGACCGTAATCCCAAGAACTACTTTGCCGAGGTCGAGCAAATTGCCTTCAGTCCGGCCCATATGGTGCCCGGCATTGAACCCTCACCCGATAAGATGCTGCAGGGACGTCTCTTCTCCTACTCCGACACGCATCGCCACCGTTTGGGACCAAACTACTTGCAGATTCCAGTCAACTGCCCATATCGCGTCAAGATCAACAATTTCCAGCGCGATGGAGCCATGAATGTGACGGACAACCAGGATGGTGCTCCCAACTATTTCCCCAATTCCTTCAATGGACCCCAGGAGTGTCCACGGGTTCGTGCCCTCTCCACCTGCTGCCCGGTAACGGGCGATGTCTATCGCTATAGCAGCGGCGATACTGAGGATAACTTTGGTCAGGTCACCGATTTCTGGGTGCATGTTTTGGACAACTGTGCCAAGAAGCGTCTGGTGAGCAATATTGCCGGTCATCTGAACAATGCCAGTCAATTCATACAGGAGCGCGCAGTCAAGAACTTTACGATGGTGCATGCCGATTTTGGACGAATGCTTACCGAGGCCCTCAATTTGGCCAAGTCGTCTAAATTCTGAACGACCGGCAACAATATTTGATTCAATAATTTGGCAAAATGCTTTAAGAATTTTAACACACACTCACACAAACATGCAATTGCTCCTCCCACACACACGACTAACAAGAATTAAAAGGCATTTGCGCTTTTTTCGGTTGCGGGAACTTTTCTTAATTGTAATTATCTCCAATTTATTACTTAGAGATGCAAAATTGTTGGTAGCTATAAATAGCACACACACACATACACTGGTCGGCACAATTATTTTGACGAACTGTACTCACGACTATCGGTGCTGGTTGTTTTTAGTTTCAAGGAATAACGGTACAATTTTCATACGGGATATAGAGTTCATAGCAACAACAATATGTAGGCAAAATATTTTGTCTATTACTCTTCACACCTTCTTTCTACAAATGACAATGTGAGTTGACTGCGGATTCAGGCACGGCATAAGTATTTTGACCAAATCTTTGTCGCCGTTTTCGCGCACGTTTTGTCAAGTGATACTAAAATAACTTTGCTGTAACCATTTTTGTTGACCTTTCAACATTAAATTCATTCAAATTTGATTGAAAAGTTATAAATACAATGGGAAAAACAGCAGAATTAAATTATGTTGTTAGAGCCTCAATAGTGGCGAAGTTTAATGCCGGCGTAAAACCAAAAGACATTGCAAATGAATATAATTTGTCGCGGCAAACAGTCCACTATCAAATTAACAAATATAAGACCCACAATGACGTCAAAAACTTGCCTAGTTCAGGTGCTAACCGCAAAACAACACCCATTGAAGATCGAGTCCTATTGCGGGAATTTAAAAAAAATATTCATTTAAGTCCGCAAGCTGCTGCAGATCAATGGAATAAGTCGACCAAGACTCCAATCAGTGAGCGTACTGTTCGGCGACGCCTAAAAGAAGAAGATTTTAAGACATACAAAGCGAAGGACATACCTTACATATCAAAGGTGAACAAGCTCAAAAGATTGGCTTTTGCAAAGGAGCATCTGCATAAGCCAAAAGAGTTTTGGAGAAGCGTTCTATGGACAGATGAAAGCTCCTTTGAATATAATTCATCAAAAACAAAGATTTTTGTAAGGCTCCCACAGTTTCAAAGACAAAAAAATATCCCCGTATGTCAAAAAGTGAGCCATGGCGGAGGCTCAGTCATGTTCTGGGGATGCATTGCGTACAATGGGTTAGGTGATTTCGTTCCCATCATCGGCTCAATTAACCAGCAACAATATTTGAGTACCCTTAACGAAAACGCATTCCCTTCCGGTGACAGGCTGATTGGAGAATCATTTATCCTGCAACAGGATAACGCCCCATGCCACAAAAGCAAAATGATAAGAGCATTTTTAACCGATGTTGGTGTTACTACTCTGGATTGGCCACCACAAAGTCCGGACTTAAACGTTATTGAGAATGTGTGGTCTCTTGTAAAACGTAAAAGAAATGCGTCTTTGCATAAAACCGAAGAAGAAACTATTTCCGAAGTCACTTCTCTTTGGAAAGAGATACCATTAGAGGTCCTTCAAAATTTAGTGGACTCAGTTACAAGACGTCTTCAAAAAGTTATCGAAGCCAAAGGCGGGTATACATTTTATTAATCTACCATCAATTTCTTATGTTTTGTTTAGTATTAAGCTTTGTTTTTTTTGTTTATATCCATTGTCAAAATACTTATGCCAACCCATGAAAATTACCTTGATTTATAATTTTAAAAGTTCTTATAAAAATATATCCTTTGAATTATTTTTAAGTTTGTAATACCAATATGGAATTGAGAAAAAAAGTTTCCTTTGATATCTTAAACCAATAACCAGTTATTGACAAAAATGTATGATTTTCTTCTCGTCAAAATAATTGTGCCGACCAGTGTATATACATATTCCACATGTATGCAATGTATATGTCAATAAAGATTCATACGAATTTTGATACAAAAAAGGCAATGTTAATTTTTGCAATAGATTGCAGCAACAGGTGGGACTCAGTTGCCCCAAAACTGTTTGAGTGTGCTGCCACTTCGCTGCAAAAATATGAGATGCAACTCTGTCACGTTCGTAACGTTTATGACCGATCCGGCAGCTCAGCTCAAAGTTGCCATTGCGCATATAGTTTCAAAAATGCCCGCTCACTGAAACTGAGAATTAATTTGCCGGCATAAACTCTTGTTTCTTGATCAATTTAAAAAGAAACTATTGTTATTATTTACAACATTTCTGAAGATGGAATAAATGACTAATCCGCTTGTACAATTTGAGCTTTTTATTTGGATTTAACAACTAGATAAAACATAAATTTGCTGCAAATTACACGCTAGTATTTAAACTTATGTTAACGCTAATTGTGTGCTTTTTTGTTTTTGTCTGCCTTCAATATATTGAGTAATTCTAACACTTTGTTTCTGTACGTTCTCAGTCTAGGCGCTAAATATGTGTATGTCTATCCGTTTCTTTAGATGTATAGTATGTTTTGTAGAAAAATACGTTTGTGTTGCCTTTTTTTTTATATATGATTTAACAGTTATTGTTATTAGTTAAATGCAACCATTAAGTAACATTTTGAAATTACTTTTTAACAGAGTTCGGCGCGTATCTTCGAATTTTTCACGAAACACTCTTGTGTAGAATTCAAAATTTGTAAACGACGCTTTTTTATTTTGATAAATGCATAAATTTAAAATATGTTGATATCTCAAATAAAATCCACCTCATTGTCATCATTTACACACACAATACAAAAATATATGTAGTTTACAGAAATGCAGTCGTCGTTAGTGGAAACCGAGTTATTCTTCTTCTTTTTTTGTTTTGCATTTGTCGCTAAATTCGTGTCAACATTAATTAAACATTTAACAACTAGCGCCCCGGCAAGTGAGAGTAAACATTAGAGAAAGGCACTTAATACACACTAACATGCCCTTGCCGTTTGATTTTTCTATTTTTTTTTTGTCTGTCTCTGTTAAATCTTATGCGTAAATTAACCGTGGTGTGTTGATCTGTTGGCCTCGTCGATTGCCCACTGGGGGAACGTGTCGAGGTTGGGATAGACGATAAAGGCCCAGGTTTGACAGAACACAAACAGTACAACGATCGTGATAATGGTGGGACCGATTCCGGCAATGGCCTAATTCGAAATAAATCAACAAACAGTTAACGGACCGACTTTGAATTAGAATAAGAAGGCACAACTTACCATATCCTTGGTTCTAATGTGGGCATAGCCTGCGACCAAGGCATTTGGAGGTGTGCTCACGGGCAAGTGGAAGGCCATACTGCAGGCCAGGCCAGCAGGGAAAATCAAATAGAGCGGATGTACCTTTATTTTCAGCGCCTGCAAAAAATGTCAATTTAGCAAACACTCCATTTTCCAATCACAAAACTATATGTTCGCACCATTTCCGCTAGCACGGGCACAATAATGTTCGCAATGGCCACGTTCGAACTGAAGGCTGTGAGGAAAACGGCCACCAGAATGACAATCAGCAGAAGGACAACGTGGGGCAAGGACTTCAGGCCTTCCAATGCCTCGCCAATTAGTTCGGCCATGCCACTTTGTTTGCTGCCCTCGGCGAGTGCAAAGCCACCTCCCAGCAGAAAGACCAGTCCCCATGGCACCTTGGTCTGAATGAACTTCCAGGTAATCAGCGAGGGTGTGGGTGCATTAGGCACCGGTCCCTTGCGGGTGCAGTAGCGCAGGAAGGCATAGTTGGCGGGCAGCATAAAGCACATGATCACAACGAAAATGGTCGGCATAGAGTTACGAATGTCCCTGTCGAAAATTTAGAGAGCAATTATAGCGATGGTGTAGCAGAATTTGCGACAATATGATACTCACTTGGTGTTCAACCAATCGGCCCAGCCAGGAAAGATGCCCGGCTTGCGGGTGAAGTACATGACCACCATGATTATGAAGAGAATCATAACTTGAATTTCGTGTATGCTCATGGGACCCAACTCCTTGTAACGCTGATCGATGACCTTCTTAGCAACATCGGCGCCATCCTTTCCCAACTGCACCTCCTGTGCCTCCTTGCTCTTTGGACGGAACAGACCCATGAAGTGCCATTGCAGGAATATGTATGTGAGGAATGTGTAGACCAGCATGGAGGGCACAGCGTAGAACATGAAGGTTGGGAAATCCAAATGTTCCGTAGATGTGGGGAAACGAGTGTCGTACAGACCCTTGAAGGTCAAATTGGTCGCGGTGCCGATAATTGTGCCGCAGCCGCCGAGGGATGATGCATAAGCGATACCCAGATAGTAGCACAGAGTGATCTTCGTGGGATAAGGAGGTCTGTGAAACAGATAGATGGGTTTCTTAAATAAAAACTATCAATGCATAGCCAGATTTCTCTAATACTTACTCATCCTCAGTGCTCTTGTTCTTATTGCTTCCGACGATTTGATACTGGGGCTCGTGATAGATTTTGCACAGACCTTGCTGTTAACAAACAAGAAGAAGAAGAGAATCGTGTTTATAATGCTGTTTGCCTAAGAAGTAATTAGTTTGCCATTTCTATGTCCTGGTCTCCAAGGCTAAATGAAAGATTATGGATATGAAGGGTTGATGAATTGAATTGATTGAGTTTTCGCAACAACCAAAAGGAGGCGAAGGAGGCCTTACAAGGTATACATATTATTGACATTTTTAGATATGCTCGTCTGTCCGTTTGTCTAAAATCTCCTAAGTCCGATAACATACCGTAGTTTTCTTTAAACTATAGTCAACTGAAAGCGAAATATAAATAAATATTTAAGCACAAGCGTTGCATAACTTCGAATTTTTGCTACCATTTTGTAATGAACAAAAAAGTATTTCGTATCAAGATTGCTTTCTGCACCGATCGTTTCTATGGCAGCTATTTAATTCTGAAACTTCAGACTATCTTAAAGCACTCTAAAAAAAACGTAAATACAAAATTTTCTATAAATACATATCTTTATAAGCCAACATGTTAATCCTATTATGAATGATTTTGAGAATGGAGCTATGTATATCTGATTTTTTATAAAATTGGACGGAGGAAGATCTCTAAATCGCTGATCATATAACTTTGTCATTTAGACTTTCTTGCAAATATACATATATTAAATATTCTTTTATATGAATACATGAATAATCCTTTTATAACCAATTCATGATTTTCAAACCTGAGCGGAAATGCGTAATTAAAGATTTTACATTCTTTAGCGGACAATTTCTAATCCTTCCTCGGCAATTCTCAAGCAGATTAAGTAATTACGCATTTTATGATAGAAGAGCTGTTCCTTAAACTTACCGCTTGGAGTTCCTCGAGCACGGCCTGAATAATGGGACACATCATAGCCGTACAGGCAGCATTTGAGATCCACATGGACAAAAACATGGTAACGAAAATCAGACCAAAGTGTAATCTGTGAAATGCAAAAAGCATGTGTTTTACAACGATTCAATATTTGTTTATAGCTTCAATTCACCTTCTGGGACTGCAGCCCACAATTTGTATAACTCGCAAGGCCAATCGCTTATGCAGATTGCAGTATTCCACGGCCAGGGCCACCATAATGCCGCCCATAAACATAACCAGAGTATCTTTAAAATACAAGCGGCATGTCACATCAGAGCTCTGTATGGGGGGAATAAAAAAAGTTGTTGGTAAGAAATGGATGCTCTACGAATATAGGAATTATAATGCAGGCCTACCATTATCCCCATAACTGGAAAAGCCACAATGGGTATCATGGAGGTGACATATAGCGGCAAGGCTTCGGTGACCCAAAAGGAGGCCATTATCATGAGCAAGTACATGCAACGGTATGCCTGAAAGATTCAAATTTTCAATTTGCAATTAATATATTGATATACTCATATCCCAGAAAAATCCTATTAACTTACGGGAGTATCGTGCAAAAGTATGACGGGTAGACATAGTAGTGGAACAAGAAAGACTACCAGGCCCTTCCAATGGTTGCCAAAGAAGTGCTTCCAACTGTTGCGCGGTTGTATAGGTTCGCCGATTTCGCTGTGGATTAAAGAAGAGTAACATATAATAAAGGTAAGGCTTATTCGATTTGAGGAGATACTAGGTGGGTCTTAGTAGCCTAAGTGTAAAAAATAAACAAACAAAATTATACTTATCAACATCAATTCTACAGCTATATATCTTTTTGAACAACAGATCTCGTGTCAAAGCAATTACTTTAATTATAAAAAGATTGCAATATATAGATATTAATCTTACTGATTTTTAATTATATTTTGAAATTGTTTTGATTTGTGGAAACTTACACACACAACAATTTTTTATAGAGAAGGCGTTATTAGAAATAAAACTGATATTATTCATTAAATTGTTGCTATTTACAAGTATGGGATTACAAAAATTAATAATTTAAACAGTTTTGTTTAACACACTAATAATACAAGTATGTTAGTACTAGCATTATTATCAGAAATTCATTTAATAATATCAAATTAATTTAATAGAATGGTTTACGGGAACTCTTTTAAATGAACGATTTGCTTCATGAATCTTTTAGCTTAACCTTGGACGATTTTTAAGGAAGATAGTGTAATGCAATCGTCCAAGTAATAGTTTGGTTTGCTAAAATAAAATTGCATCGCCAGTTATAAAATTATGGATGAATCTACACGAATCTGGTCAGGACTGTTTCCGCTTACTAATTCAAGCAAATACTGCTGAATCAAAATTGTTAGATGTTTTTAAATCTAAATTTTAATGAAGCTAAAAAGTGAACATTAGTCGGCATTCAGAGCATAGAATAGAACTCGATCCCGCTACATGTGATCGAGTTCAGAAACGCAACGAATCTTTATATTAAGTTAATAAAGATTTAGATATATAGATAGAGATGAAATAAGTTTTATGTTTAAGTTTCAGCCAAGATCTGAATCCTATAAAATATAATACTTATGCTATGTTAAATGATGTTTCAATTGTCCCTGAAGCTAATTTTGTCGTCAAATATTTGCTTTAAAGATGAAACAGCAAATTACATTTACTTGCTCTTCTAATATTATAGTTTTAAAAACTGTTTCATAATTCACAAAAAAAATAAATATACTGAAAATATTTGAAGCAAATGCAGTCACATAAAAATTGAAAATATACAGCTTTGAAGCCTTCAATTATTGTGTTGCCAATTAAGATATGATAAAAGTAAATTATTTTTAATACTTACACTTCCATTTTGGTATCTTTTTGAAAAATCTGTAAGCAAACAATAAAGGAAACATCAATTAATAACAATCAAGATTCAGTTGCAAAGAAAGTCTTAGATACACTACTTATATACTATATAGTAGTGTGGCGAACGAGCCCCCAAAACGGGCAACGACCATCTGTTGTCATGCCCCATTTTTGCTGTCTATGGTCATAGTGGTCGGTTCATTAACATGTCGTAGCCATGCATAAATCTAAATGTTTTGACAAACGCCTCGGGCTCAATTGGAAATCAATTTAGTACTCGTGCGAGCAGAGTGGTGGACGCAAGCGCCTAATTGTTGGAACAAGTCACATTGTTGTTTATGGTTTATGGGGGGCGCTGTGGAAATGAAGCGCGTGATATAATTTGTGTTGGAATGGAAATGTGTGCCAGAAAACTGCGAACTGCTGGTGGTTTGTATATAAATATTTCATAAGCGAATATTCATGGCAAGTGGCGATTGTGCTGACGACGCCGTCTCTGGCCCCGATTCTATGGACGTCATCGCCGATGCGATTAGGTAATCGCTTCGTTCAATTTCCCAGAAACATATACAGAACTTACTAAGTATAGTCGTATGTGTATAAGAATGAGGGTGAAAGGGGGCATGACCCATGACCCATGTTCTGGTTTTGTTAGAATATCAGATATCGCAGCCATATATCAATCACTCCCAATTCCCAATATTGTTTTTATCAAAACAGACGCATTAGTTGTTGCCACAAAGACACACGTGCTTTTGGCCAAAACTTAACACACACACACACACATACATGTAAGATATATTTAACTTTTGTGTATAACAAAAAGCTTGGCCGACCACTAATTATAGCCCATGGGCAGACGGGCCAACGGACGCCCAAGCGAACCAAGCGGTGGGCGCCAATGTCAATGTCAATACTGTAATGTACATATCTATACTATATGCGAGTATATATTTGTTTGTAGTAACATGTGCATGTAAGTGATTAATAAACAAATCTATTATTGTGTTTGCATGACCAATAAGTGAATTTTTGCGCACAAATAATTATATTTGTGATATACAAGTAAATGTGAATAGTTCTGGCAGCGAAGCATTAATATTTGTGTTTCATTTTATCAAAACTTAGTCAATTAGCACCTATATATATCACTTATATTTGAGCAAAATGTTCTAAGTGTAGTTTAAAGGCTTAGCATATAAGCTTAGGTTAAGTAGAAGCAGAGTTTAAAGATGATGTTAATTTTCGGGCGTGAGAGACGAAGGGCGACAAAGTGTATTTGCCATTACAGAGACTTTGAAAGAAATGCTTCTTGCCTTAACCATCGGTTGGAAAAATCCAGCATTCTCTCTTCTTGGGGGTGACCAAATAGCAAAATATTGTAAGCATAGTTTAAAGGCTTAGCATATAAGCTTAGGTTAAGTAGAAGCAGAGTTTAAAGATGATGTTAATTTTCGGGCGCGAGAGACGAAGGGCGACAAAGTGTATTTGCCATTACAGAGACTTTGAAAGAAATGCTTCTTGCCTTAACCAGCATTCTCTTTTCTTGGGGGTTGACCAAATAAATTAATGTTTATTTCTGGGATAGCAATTGAAAATAGTTGACCAATTGTCATTAAAAGGTAGAACACAGTTGAACCTCGAGATCGAGCTTACGAGTATTATAGAAAATCAAAAATCCCGCTTAAAAAGAAGTTGCATCAAAAAAATGGACAATTGTACTAAGAATCTGCACCTTTAAACAAACATACTTATATCATCCTCATCTTTTTCATATCTTTCTTGTTTATAAAAATAGTTTAATTAAATCTATTGTTTGTCTCACTCTAAAAAACTGGGACCTTCCTCCATACTTCACAAACTTGGATTCGATTATACGATTATCACGGTTATAGAGTTTTAAAATCAACCTGTTTGCATCATGATTAAGAAATGTTCCCGGCTAATCAAGGTTTCGATAATTTAGGTTTAAATTTATCTATTATTCTATTAAACTCATATTCAGCCCATTAGTTCACAAGTTTTAGTTCAAAACAATATCAAATAATATCATTTATATATGCATCAAAAATGAATACGTAAAGTTTTAAATTAATGTTAAAAAAACATTTCTGAGACGTTATATACCCTTTTTGGGTTATAAAGAGCCAAAAGCCCTCCTTGTATATTTTAGAATGAAAAACCTGTGGCTTAATACGATCTAAGTTAAGTTTAAATCAGCTTTTAATTTGCTGGATAAATGCATCTTAATTAAACTTTGATGATATCAGAAACCTATCAAAACCAACTGCTAATAGTGTTAAAAAATTGTGTTTTTCTATCGCAACTAATAAGCAATTGTTGTGGGATCTTTTTTAAAATTCCCAGACAAAAATGTCATTGTCCGGTTGTTTATAACTTGTTTGTATTATGATTTTGTTTATCTTAGATTTTGTTGTTTATACTATGAACTTAGTTTTTCATTATTTTTTACATTATTTGTTTTTGTGGCTTGTGTTTGAAGCGTTATCTGATATTTTGTTTATGGACTGACATTAGCATTGCGATTTCACAGCTCAGAGAGCAGCTTAGCTAGAACGTGTTTAGTCTGGGGCTTATTGTTGATACATATTTATAGTATACTCTTATGTACAGTGAAATCTCTCGCCGCGAAAATCTCTCGTGGCTGGATAAATATCATAGTCCCCAATTTTTGTGGAATCTTTTTGGGGAGGACTTTGTTATTTTATTTCGCGAAAAAGAATTTCCAAATTTTCTTTTGTTAAAAGTGCTGAGAGCATTAAGCCAGGGAATTTCCATTAATATATATGTACGTTAAAAAATTATTCTCGAATTTCTGTTTATGGAGAGAAAAATTGTCTATTGTCGACCTAAACCAATTCAAGGAAAAGCTTCCTTCTATGATTCGTGACTAAAAGCCGAGGGACAATTAAAAAAGAACCAAAAAATTTAATTCTGCATCATCTTCTCCAGGCGGACCTCTGCCATGATCCCACAATTTCACCAGAACCGCTGGTATTAGCCCAAGCCAGATTTCACTGTACTTCGCTACTAGGGCTTCCAATATGAAATCCGTAATTCGTTATGAATTACAAGGAATTTGAAAATGAAGGGGAAGTGACTATTTCTATACACTACAAGGTGTATATTTTGTTTTTAGCCATTGGATGAGTGTTGAACAGCCCATTCGTTCGCCTGTTCCTCGGTCTTTCCATCTGTCTGTATGAACCTAAAGTTCTTCGAAAGGATAAGAGCTATGGTTACCAGATTTGGTATACAGCCTCTTCCAAAGACTTTATATATGTATGTATATATTTGTTGTTGTAATAACTCGGTATCTAAAACCTTTGTACAATGTTTCGCAAAGAAACAATCGAAATTAGTCTGATATTCTCCTATAAATTTATTGATACTGGGCAATTTCTATGACTGCACAACAAACGTCATCTCGTTGTATTTGTAAAATACTTTCATGCAAATGTTATATACATTCATATGCATATATGTATATGTTTGTTTGTATATCAAAGTTTCCGACACGCGTTTCGAAAAATTATGACTACACCGGACATGGAAGATTATTTCTATGACATAGCGCTACTTGCATTACAAAACTAAACTTAACACTCACTAAAAAGGAGCCACGCCCATTTATTAATGCAGTGGACGGATGTAAAAAACATGAATATACATATGAATTTACATATGTATGTATGTAGCTCCAACATTTGCGTTCCTGTTGCTGCTTGATTGATTACAAGCGTACCATGTTGTTGATAGCAACAACCGCAAATATTCCATAAAGTGGCACAGACATACAAATACACAAACATACGCGTATGTACATATATATGTATGTATACGCATCTATATAGATTACTGGTACATATGTAGATGGTCGTAAACAGAGCGAACGGGCTATCAATTGACGATGCCTACGTCAAAATGTGCCCTCAAAATCAATCAAAATATCAGGCATCCTATATATACAAGTAGGTGTACTCGTATGTATATGCACAGTGTTTTATATTTATTTATAGAGTACACACACAGTCCATATGTAAATCGTAGGCGCATTAGCTCGTGTAATACCACAAAATATATTGATAATAGAGAGTGATGTCAGCCAGTAGATGGGCCTTTTCAAAGTTCACATACTTGTATGCAGGGAGGAGCTGAGTTGAGCAAACAAATCATTAATTCGCAAATATGGGCGCTACGTGCTGAGCGACAAAGAAAACATATTATGTATCATTTTGATAGCCAGAGCCATATAGTCTTAATGGCCCAAAGGCGGTTTATAAATAGTTCGAATTGTTTTGCAAATGCTTGCAAATTCGATTTCCATTTAAAGTTGCTTCTTTAAAATAAAAGCCATTTGTTAAAATTTGCTGATGAAACCAGTTTTCTAGTCTCCGATTGTAGATTGTTGTTAAAATCAATAAAGCAATATTATAAAACTTTCATAAATATACTTTCTCTTATAAAACATATATAGAGTAAATTAAACTAAGTATAATATGCGAAAGTTTATAGATGCGTGTTATATTTAATTTATTTTCTTAAAAGCCTCAGAAATGTAAATTAACAATTACTGTACAACTTTTCTATACACTATGCTGCAATCATACTATATGAATAAACTAATAATATTTGAATATTAGCGCCTTGTGTTGAAAAATTTCCTCTCCCAAAAGCGTCAGATAATAATGCGTCAGACTAAGCATAAATGAACAATTATTATAGAACTTGCATACCCAAACTGTCACATACGAGTAATTTGTTGAAAGCCCTTTCATAAATAGAAAGACGGTACAATTTTCAAAAGTTGTCAGGAACTACAAGTATTATGAAAAATTCACTCTCCTAAAAGCGTCAGATATGTGTTTGCTTTACATGCTTTACAGCTTAACCTATTTTTTGTTTGTTTTTCACACTATAACACTAGTGTTTGACCTGATATCTGTAACGCTCGTTAGAAGGCTTTGTAGATCACTTTTATACAAGTATAGTATCTCTAG